ACACACACACACACACACACACACACACAATTTATGAATGAACTTGTCAGAAGTGGTATAAATCTGTGCATCGAAGACTACAAACTACTACTGAAAGACCTTAAAGGACGCCCGAGTCCGTGGACAGTCAGTATTCCTGGACTGGAGCACTCACCATGGTGAGGACGGCAACATCCCTATGAAAACCCCAGCTGACCATTTTTGCAGAAACTCAAAAGCTAATCCTAAATGCACACAATGTGACAGGGTCAGGACTCCGAGCCAGCTTTAACTCATACTCTCAAACTGTGTGGAAAGAGAAGTTGGAGAAGAATGGAGAAATGACATCAGTTCCAGAAGTTTGCTCAGGACCAGTTCTGTCCTGGGGGAAGAGAAAGAACTCCTTCACCTCCCTCTACGTGCCACAATCGGGTTAGCTGCAGTGTGAGGCAATGAGGCCTCAGTACTTAAACCAAGGAGTCAAACTGCTTCTAACCTTTGGAATTATAAGGTACTTGACAATATAAATGTAGAGAAAATTAGCTGGTTATACTCTAGATAAGGGCAATAAATACAACTGAATAAAGTCTGAAACCACTCAAGACCATTAAATACGTTTGCGACTTAAGCTAAGAGGAAATACGATATAAAAATCATGAAGGTTGTCAACAGGCTGAACATGACAGCAGTTCCCCGAATCTCAGAAGTAGTGGGCATTTCCGTAAAGGAGGCAGTCAACTCCAGCTACCCAGGGCCTTGCTTTGCCGGTATGGTGGTAGTATGAGCTCACAGCAGTGCTGAGGGGGAGGCATGCCAGGAATCCACATGCCTTTTGTTTGTTTACTTACAAATTTTTTTTTTAAATGTTTATTCATTTTTGAGAGACAGAGAGAGAGAGAGCAGGGGAGGGGCAGAGAGAGAAGGAGACACAGAATCCAAAGCAGGTTTGAGGCTCTGAGCTCTCAGCACAGGGGCTCGAACCCACCAACTGCGAGATCAAGACCTGAGCCTAGGTTGGATGTCCAACCAACTGAGCCACCCAGGCGCCCCCCACCCCTGCATGCCTTTTAAATGATGAAAGACATATTGAATCTGGTAAAATTCTAGTGTTAACTTTTATTTCTATGCTAGTTTATTTATTTCATGTCCTTTTTTTTTTTCCCTAAAAAGAGGGCATTTCAAAATAAAGATATCTTAAGTTCATAGGAACCTGTCAACCAACAGTTGGGAGAATATTGGGGAATAAAAACACAGGGGCTGGAAAACAGAGAAAGAGTAGATTTTCTTTCTTATTTTAGTCAGTCTTCTTTATGTTACAAGGGCAAACATTCTATTAAATATTTTTTTTTATTTAAACAAATTAGAATCCCTCTAGATCAACAAAAGAAATATAAAGACTTAATTTGCTTGAAAATTAAAGTTAAAATGAATATTTACACATCACAGCAAAGAATTCACATCTCATACGAAAAAGCACATGAGATAGATGACAGTATGATATGGAAACATCAAGCCAGTGAATATCAGCCCCTCAGAGATCTAGTGTTTGATGAAAGGGCCTAGTAACAAACATTAGGAGCCCCAGGAACCCTCCAAACCAGCCGGTGATGGCAGCGTGAGCTATTAGTGTGAGGCCCCTCACCTCCTAGCCTGTGCCCACTGTGCTGAACCTCCAATTCCAAAGGCATCAGATTTCCCACTGCTTTCAGAACAGGATCACTACTGTGAAAGTGATTTCTACATATTAAAAAAATGTTTATAATACAGGTATTATTCAGTTCCTAGAATCTTTCTGGACATCACAACAGAGATTGTACAAGGAGACGAGGTGGAAGCGATCCCTCTGGTGTCCATAATGCATAGTGAGAACCTGAACTTTGCTATTAGAGATGTATCAAAAACAGGCCCATGTACGTCCACCATATTTGTCACAGAACCCAGCTTTTCAGAGTAAAAGGGCAGTTCTACCCATGTACACGCAGGTAAAAGCAGGAGTTTACCGTAAGAACATTACTTTTTAGATGTTCCTACTCTGTGGAAACCTGCATGGTAATACGTACCAATAAAGCCCTTCTTTGCCAGCTCCATCGTAAACCTCCTTGTGATCTTTTCTAATTCATTATCCTATAAAGGAAAAACATGAAAACAAAACAACAATGAAACAAATGTTTTTGACAGAAAACTACTGGTGGAGATAGGTAATAGTTGGATTATATTTTCTATTTATAGGACATTTTCACCTATCTTCTTGTGTAATCCTCAAAGCTCATAAAACAGGCATTTCCATTTTAAAGATGAGAAAATGACAGATCACAAATTAGGTCATATAAACAACAGACAGTAGAATTAGGGCTCAGATCCCAGTTCCTGTTGTTTTTGTATTAATATAGGACCCTATGAGCAATCCCTACGGTATATTTTCATTTAAATGGTTAATCTTAAAAAGAATGAAATCATACATGTTATGTTTGTAACAGATGTTACTTTGGTGCTGTAAAGTATAGTAATGGCTTAAATTAACTTGGAACTGATAGGATAAACAATAAGATTTTTACTGAATTAAGACATTTGTCACTGGACCTTGATAACCCAACACAAAAATCTCATAGTAATATATACTATATTTATATAGAGCATATTATATTTATGTTATAGAATACATAACATGGATATAAATGCCTAAGAATATGAAGGTATTAACTACCTTCTAACCAAGTGAGAAAATGAAAAAAGGACATTGATCATTGATGTTAAGCCAGGTGACCCTTATATGGCACAACACTCAATGTGTTAATTCTTTACTTGTTTTTCCATTCCTTTAAAAAGCAATAGGGGCCATTAATCTCACTGATATGGGGGACACACAGAAGCCCAGTAATTACAAGTCCCCCATCAGTGTATCATGTGCACAAATGTCATTTTGTTACTTACAGTATAGTTCTTGGGATTGATCTTAACACCAGCCTTGGCACCCCCAAATGGCACATCTGGAAGAGAAGGCTGCAAGTTGTTATTCCATACAAAGGATAAAAAACTTAAAGATGCAGAAAGCACTATGCAATGTATAAATATGACACTTTAAGCTTTAGTTTCAAAAAATTCAAGAAATAAACCCACATCAATCTCTTCTAAAATGTTGTACTTTAACTAAAACTCTAGAGGAACAGAAATGATAAGGCTAGGCAAGTTACGATGCGTAATCAGTGTGCTTTCCTAATTCTAAAAGAAAAAAACATTTATTTCCCTTCTACTATGATTTGGTCTTATTTACAGTGTACAGAAAGGGATTTAAAAAAAAGATCTACACTTTAAGAAAATCCAATTGATTCCTATAACAAGTCCTCCATTAAAAAAAAAAAAGACTAACTCTTAATTAAGGCTAATTGAAAAATGGTGTGGGCATTAAACTGTGCACCTTGAATAACATCCTAACAGTAACCCTGTATGTAAACATATTTCCCCAAGCGCCATTAGGTGGCAACAAAGGAGATCACTTACCAACCACAGCACACTTGTAGGTCATCAGAGAAGCCAGGGCTTTCACTTCATCTACACTCACATCAGTGCTGTAACGGATACCTGAGGGGGTGAGAAAGAAGGGGATGCATTTAGAACACCCTTCTGGCAGGTTAAAAAAAAAAAGTGCTAGAAATTGAACTGTCCACACTTTTTGCATTTCAATACCTTGGTTATTTCCAAGAACACTTAAAGAAGCTTATGATACAAAGTCCAGGGAAATCTAAGGAGTCACCTAGCAAGAGCTACAGAATGAGCACTGAATTTTAAGTATTTGGACAGTTATGAGCGAAAGACTGGTGTTGGAGTGCAGTTTCTGTGTTCTGGTACAAGCTCAGGATGAGACCATGGAGCAGGGCTCCTGGGGATTAAGAGGTGAATGGGGCACAGTCCTGTCCTCTGGGGACTGACAGCCCAGTGGGAAACACCAGTAACTATGATTTCACAAGACAAAAACCACCTTCAAATGAATGTTACACTTTTAGGAAGGCAATTAACTCCGGGAAGGCTTTAAAATTTTTCTTTCATGTTTTGACTTAGGTGATTTGGTAGCAAGGAGCTCAAAAATTTTGCTTTCTGATAGCATACAAATATGAGCAAATGGATAGTCAACAGATTGATTCAACCTAATATTAGATGTCTAAATAGAAGTTCTGGCTTCAAACGAGTACACCCAGATGTCCCAGTCTCTTCCTGCCTTCATTCACTGTCAGCCTGTCAACCAAGAGACGAGAAGCTGGCAAGTCATTTCTTTTTCTTGGAGATGAGCAATTCCCTCTATCCTTTCTGCAAGGATGGCAGGAGGCCAAGCGACAGACAACTAATTGTGTCTCAATGCGCCTGTACTTGGTAGTGTTAGGTGTTTGGTAGAGTGGACGTGGAAAGTGAGTATGTCCACTACTTTGGTTTTGTGGGTCCTGGTCACTCACCCTCCCAAGGTTTTCAGGGTTAGGCCACCCTTTGTCCTCTGCAGTTCATTGTTTCTCAACCCAAAGGAAGAAGGCCAGGGTGAGGTTAATGTCTGCATGCTACCTGGCGCTCCCTGGCACAATGTGTGTTTGTGAGCGATGAAGGATTCTTGAATGACGCTGGGTACAACTTCCACTGAGTTACAGTAATGGGGGGCCTCAGGGACATCTCTTAAAGAATTTTGGGAACAAAAGTTTTTCAGACAGCAATATACAATATCTCATAAACTGGTGGTTGGAGAAAACTTCCCTAGTCATTTTTTTTTTTTTAATGTTTATTTTTGAGAGAGAGATAGCAGCATGCGTGAGCAGGGGAGGGACAGAGAGAGAGAGAGAGAGAGAGAGAGAGAGGGAGGGAGAGAGAGAGAGGAGAGGACAGACGATCTCAAATAGGCTCTGTGCTGACAGCAGAGAACCCAACGTGGGGCTGGAACTCATAAACCACGAGATCATGACCTGAGCCGAAGTCAGATGCTTAACTGACTGAGCCACCCAAGCAAGCCCCCCGTCCCCGTCATTTTTAAAAGATGGCTTCTTGTATATTTCTGCAAACATCTATCTAAACACAAATGATATCTTTTCCAATTAGCAATAACTGCACCTTGGATAAATCTCACTGGCTATGATACTGCCACTGCACAAAGCTAAACGCCAATGATATGACTTAAGAGAATTTTATCTGTGGTACATAGATCATAAAGAGCAAATTCTAAAGCTGAACATATTTCTTTAGCCTATTAGAAAAATAAAATGATTATATTTAGAAAAGGGAGCTCTTGGAACAAATTTACTTGTTAATGAAATTTTAGAATAAGGAAGGACAATTTTTTTAATGCTTATTTAGTTTTGAGAGAGAGAGAGAGCAGGGGAGGGGCAGAGAGGGAGGCAGAGAATCTGAAGCAGGCTGTGCACTGTCAGCGCAAAGCCCAACATGGGGCTTGAACTCATGAACCGTGAAATTGTGACCCGAGCTGAAGATGCTCAACCAAATGAGGCACCCAGGTGCCCCAAGAAGGGATAGTCTTTTTAAAGATAGAGCAGCTACCTGTTGCTTTAGAGCTTGCTTCCCTATTTTGTTCAGGCCTCTATTAAAACTTTCTTCATTCCAAGAGGCCTTCCCTGACCACCTTCTTTAAAACAGCACCTTTCTCATTCCTACTCTCTAGCTCCCTCTACGTTAATGTTTTACCACTGACTTTATTTTTTTTTTTT